CTTAGGGATTGGGGTGCTGACTATGGTGAGGCAATTCCTTATGCCACTTGTCAGAGGGAGTAGAGGAAGCCAGATCCTCACACATCTCTGGGTATTAGGGAAAAATTATGGAGCTTCAAGAGGAAATGTTAACAGTTGAAGTCAGCTTATGGGACTGCCCTGGTCTTTGGCTTGGCATATTACCTCAGGGTCCATATTTTCTCATTCCCAAACTTTGACATGTGGTCGATAATGTGCAGGATCCTTGAAGTAGGGACCATGCTGAAGAACTTGTAACTCACTTCCGAAGGTCCGGAAATTCTTTGCTTCCTTCTGTTACTTTAGTATTCTACCATTTTTTAACTAAAGGTGAAATTAGTCTACACTAACCAGGTAATTTGTACTTAGACCTGTATGGTTTGTCTTTGGAAGAACATGGGTTATGGAGAAGTCCAAGAATAGAAAATATAAAAAGCCAGATATCACAGAAAAGGCTGTGTTCAAACCACCCTTACCTTTTGTGGGAGATAGAAGGATGGAGATGAGAAATATTAAGGTCGCTGAATAAGGTGACAAGGGATTTCTATTCTTGGTTTAGAAGAAATACATGGCAAAACCACTGCATATCACCTTCTTAATCTGTGTGGTAAGAGAACCAGAGGCAGGACTAAGAATATGGGCTCAGCCTTCATATAGTCTGGGTCCAAATTTTGTCTCTTTTAGTCTGTTTGACCTGGAGCTAGTTACATAACCTCTGCATGCCTATATTTCTGAATCCCTAAAGTGGGGTTAATAATAATGAGAATTTTAGGATACATGTAACAGCCTCAGCGTGGTGCCTGATACACAGTAAGTACTCAGTAAGTTTTACCTGTTAACATTAAGGCACTTTAAAGTTGACAAACATTTCACTTACAGACCCTTTTAATGGGGAAAGTAAGGGCAGGGGCAACAGTTGCAGGGGCCTCAATCTCTAAGGAGTAGAGCTGGAGAAAAATGCATTCAGTACAACTTCTGATAGTACAGCCAACTGCTGGAGGGAGAGGTGAGCCCTTCGCCCACGTTTGGGGACCGAGGGGAGTGCAGAATGAGACTCCCCTCTCTACAGGGAACAACACTCTGATCCCAGGCGGTTATGGTTTTACAGTACTCAGCTGGTCCTCTGAATAAACGCCCAGCATCTAATACCTTGGTTTGAGCCAAAGCATTAGCCTGTCCTTGGCAACAACACGTGGGTCATGCCGGGCTCACACAACAAATGCCCGGTGTCGCCCCTATGTGCAGGCATGGTTCTCAACGGCTTACGTGCATCAAGTCGCTCAAAGGCATCACTGCCCTGGAAAGTAGGTGCCCTTCACGTCCCCTTTCTGCAGGAGCCTGCCCAAGGTCAGGGAGCCGGCGAGGGAAGGGGCTCCACCGGAACCCGCGCGGCGGCCCAGTCTGCGCTTCGAGCCCACCGCGCCAGGGATGGGGCCCCAGGAAGCCGCGCAAGGACGACGGGCAGTGGGCAGTGAGCCCGAGTGGCAGGCCGCTCCGGGCATCTCCCGCTGGCCTTGAGCACCCAGCGCGGGGGTGGGAGACGCAGTCCGAAGCGGGAACGTTCCAGAACCTCCGTGCGCAGCCGGGGACAGGGAGAGCCCCCGATGCGGTCGCAACCCCGCCCGAAAGAGTGAGGCCACTGAGAAGGTTCCTCACAGCGGGGAGTCACAGGCGAGAAGCGCGCGCACGGACGAGACCGCACAGCAGCGCACGCGCACACGAGGGCGCACGCTCGCCCGCCGCCCGGGATGAAATGGAAGGCATGGAAAGTTCCAGCTGGTTCGAGAATCGTAGGTAGCAGGCGCGGCGGTAAGATCGGAGGGGGCGTGGAGCCTCCGTGGGCCAAGCTCACGGCGCTGTCCCAGGCGGTCCCGCGGGGACTGAGGGTCCGGCGGGGCGGGCTCGCCCGGGGG